GGAGGCTGATTTCATCTGACCCAGGGACCCAACATTTAATCACATAATTCATCTTTCTGGCATGGGCAACCCCCACCAGGAGTCACTGAGTTAACATAAACTGTCAAGTGTGGTCCAGGGGCCTCACTATGAAGAATAAAGACACTCCTGTCACTTGGGAAATTCCAGGAGCCAGGAGAAATGCCAGGCCTCCTTTAGGGAAAGTTAATTCTTTTTACTACATAATAGTGAATGTAAAATTGTACTGTATTTTTAGTTTTTATTAATTAGGCATAACATTTTTGTTAAAGTATATTTGCTATTTATACTTCCTCTTTATGTGAAATTTCACCATCTTTTTCAAATGAACAAAAGAATTGGAATTACGTTTTGCAACAGTTCACCATGTGCCCAGGAAAAATGATATCTTTGGCATCCAGGCATAAAGTTATTTATAAGGAAAAAAATTAGATTGCCATCTGGTCTTTCTACAGCAAAGCTTTATTCTAGAAAACAATTTATATTTTTCTGTTTGTTATACAAAAATATAAATTTTGAGCTAAGAATTTTACATGTAGACAAATTGTTAAATACATGTAGCAGCAGAGTATATTATTACTGTAACCTCTTCCTGATGAATCCACTAGGAAATGAGCTTCAGAAAAACAAAATAGAGACATGCCACTTGAGGGCTGGTGGTGAGCATCAAATATATAATAATCTGTATATTTAACATCAAATAGTAGTATTAAGAGAGAGAGTATAGTTTTCTTGCTTAGATATAGTAGATATAGTGTATTCTTCCAAAATGTAGGGTAAGGATGTGGAAAGTATATGAAAAATATAATAAGCATGCAAATTACTTTATTGGTATTAAAAGGGAGAGTTACTTAGAATCAGAGGCTGGGGAGAGAGAAAAGTAGTAATTACTTTCAGTATTCCTCATAATAGGAAGTCTAAGATAATAGTAAAAAAGAGAGAGAAAGAACAGGAATTATATAAATTTATTAGCATACAAAGGAAATACAGATGTAAGATTGATAACATTAAGTAAAGACCATATAGTCCTGAATATGAATTGAAAGGATTATTTTGAACTCAACCTGTATTTTATCTTTAATTATATATCTTACAAAGTGGCTTAGAGATATCAATTGGTTTTATATATAGACTTCAAATCCATCCTAGTTTACACAAATGGAAAAATACACATTTATAATTAGATAATTGAGGAAATAAGAAGACTAAGTGGATATTTGATCTTAAAGAATTACTGTTAAATTTTAGTTTACTATATTATTTAGATTACTATAGTATTATGCTTTTGCAAAAATGTCCTTGTCTTAGAGGTTCTTGTTGAAATATTTAGAGATTAAAATACACGATGCCTAGAGTTTGCTTCAAATTCAAAATAATCTGGAATTTGCTGTGAAGTGAATGAATAAACAAAATTATAAGTTGACAATTGTTGAAGCTGAGTAACTGTTACATTGGTTTTTTTCCACTTAAAGAAGTTTACATTTTTCTGTGGCAAACTATTTTATTGCAAAAATAAAAAATAGGAAGTGAGACAACAGATGGATTATGAAGTAGGAACTAACTATAGGAGGTCCTCAAATAATGTCATTTTGTTTTCTCTTTGTAGGAACTTAACTCTTGTTTATATTAATAAGCCTTAAGCCTGCGGTAAAATTGATTTCATTATGGCTTGGTTTGCATAAAGTCATAGAACCTATCTAAGACATTAAGTGAGGACTTACTGTAGACTGAAATTTTGTAAAACAAGGAACAAAGAAGTGATGTAGCTGCACAGGCAGATCTGATCAAGATCTAGGAAGTTGTGTGTGTGTGCACTTTACAAGAGACTATATGAGAGTGTCTTTGTATGCTGATGGGATGAAAACGGGAGAGCAGGAAAAATCCTTTTTGAAGGAGAGGGGGTGCAAACTACAGAAGCATATGAGAGAAGAGATTATATTAGAGGTGATGTTCTTTAGTGCCTAGTAGAGGTATTTGCCTTGGCAAGAGCATTTTATCAGAAGAGATGACAGATTATTGAAGTTTATATACAGGTTGGTTGATTTGCTTGCATAAAGGAAAATGTTCTCATTCTTACTCATTTTCTCTCAATGAAATAATCAGTGTGGACATCAGTCATGAGATAGTTTTGAGATTTTAGGAGAGAGAAAGCATGGGGAATATTTATCCAGAGTAAAAGAATAAGAAATGTAGTAGGGATGAAGGTAAATGCTGAGGGTCTATTTGAGTTGCGTGGTTATAAATTTATAGTGAGAATAGTCAAGATGGTGTGTTTTTTACCAGCCATGCTTAACTACTCAGGTGGAGAAGAACAATGGGTAGGACTGGATTTAATCAGGTTTAGGAAGATGAATGCAAGTTAATAGTTATAATGAAGGACTGGAATATAAGCTAGATAAAGCCATCAGGATTATAATTGACAGTAAAATTAACATTGCAGATGATTCAGGCATGAACAAGAGGGTGATTCTAGAATAACATTTACATTTCTGCTTGAGTTTTGGAGGTCTACATTTTTTTTTTCATGCCTCATCCCTTTTACATTTGTCTTCTTTTTGATAGACTTTTATGAAAAGCAGTGCAAGTGCAGGACCACTTAATATCATTTTCCTTGCTCAGTCCTCCTGGTTTTTTCCCTGAACCTTCTTTCATAGTAATAAGAATGGTAGTAATAACCACTTCTTAAACTCTTTATGCCAGGCACTTTACATATATTATTCCTAATCCTCACAAGCTTATGGAACAGGTATTTCTATATTTATTATTATATGAAGAAATGGTGATTGAAGTAGGCAAAAGTAACTTGTTTGTAACATAATCATCAACAGAGATGGGGTCTGACATGCTGATCTCTCTAAATCCGATTCTCACTAAACCTCATTACTATTTTTTCTTTTATCCTGAACCATTTCTCAGACTTTACTGTCAAATCATTCATTATTATAAATTTTGCCTGTTCTTTTCTGTATTATTTCAAGGACAATCTTTATAGCACCTGTGCCAAATGGTCATTTCATTGGATCCACAAAACCTACCATACTGTAATCACAGGGATATTTGTATTGTAATCATTCTATGCTCACTCAGCATTTTAGAATATTCTCAGTCTGTTCCATTATCTAGATTGCCATTCTCTTATTTCCTTCAACTTACATCCAGTATACCCTTTAATAGAGTTCATAGTGTTCCACTTTACCCACTCTTTCTATCAAATAGTTGGTGATCCTCATCTCCCAACATTCTCAATTCCCTTTCCTTAATTAACATTACATAGATCTTTTATTAGGCTTTAAACCTATTATGATGCCTGGGGGGAAAATACGGTTTTCTGGGAAGTACAAATATAGTGGTCTTAGAGAGACAGAAGTAGAAGACCCTGAGAAAGGGCCAGGAGGAACAAAACAGAGTGTGTTTTGGAAGAAAGGTTAAGTAATAGCACAAATTTAGGTGAAGATTAAAAGAAAAGGCACCTTAGGGCAGTAGTTGAAATAAGGAAACCAAAAAAATAGTCATGACTATACAGGGAGCATTGGTACAGGTATATGTATAAATAGGGACACAGTTGAAATACTTTGGTTTCTGTTCAGGTCGTGTAAGTCTTTCATCTTTTACTAAATAGGGACACAGTTGGGTAGATGGATGGTTTGGTATATATAATATTGTTTTTCCATTTGCATCATTTAGTTATCTAGTTTTGGTTGTAATTTTGTTTTAGCCTATGAGGGAAGTGATGAAGTGAAATGCATTTACAGGATCTGGCACAAATAATGCACCTTTTTTCATTACAAAATCATAAGCATGTAATTATGTAACATAACAATATCACACTCAAGCACACCATATGGCATTTTAGGTGAAATGTTCAAATTAAAACTATAAATCATTACACCTATATTATTATTCTATCAAACACACTTGAGCAGGCTTTACTTCTGCCAGACTCTGTATTATTTTTTCAGCGATGGGGAAGAGATTAAAATTAGAGACAGATGTTTAGAACTATTCTATAATTATAAACACAAACTGGACAGATACATGCAAAGATCTGTGTAAAGTTTCTCTTTATCCCTATAATCTTTTTCATTCATCCAGTGATTCATTCATTAAACAATTTATGGAAACCTATTATGAGTAAGATGTTGGTTATTCTGTGTTGAGATATGCCATTGTTCCTGCCCCGTAAGTGTTTTAACAGTAAGAAAAAAGATTCCATTATGAAGAAATAGATGATTGTATAATTTTAAAATCTAGAAAATTGCAATGAGAGAGAATGAAGTGAATTTAAGTAGAGTTATCTAGCTCAAACTTTCTAATGAGGTAACTTTTTACCTGAGACTTATAGTATGATATGAAGCCAGCCATGCAAAGAGTCAAGTTTAGAGAATTTCTAACAGCTTATGAAAAAATTTAAAAAGATAAAGAGTTTGGTTTATGTCAAATGCTTGGAGGTGATGAATATTTGGTAGATAATGAACTGTGAAGAGAAGTGGGTTGAGATGTTGGATAGGATTTTGATTGAGATATGTCCAAGAAAAGATATGGAGGATCTTGTAAGCTGTGGTAAGGTGTTTGGATGTTATTCTAAGTGCAGTTGGAAATCACTGAAAAATTCTAAGTGGGATTATTAAATTTTGTGCAACATCAGAATTGGCTAGTTAAGTGTATTAAAAATAGGAAACCTGACCTATTGGTATAAATTCTTATTTACTTGATGTGAGTACATCAACATTCAACTTTTAAAATAAACTATTTAAATGACTGTACACTGGAATTTAGAAACTACTGACTTTACTTCTCTAACAACCCTCTTTATAGTTCTTAACTGTTTATCCTCTTGACCTTTTTCTCAAGTTGAAGTCTATGTACACCATCTTCACTTATTAGGGACATTATTTTTATCCCCCCCCCCCATTTCTACCATAGAAGTTTTATTTCTCCCCAAAGAGGAAACACTATGGGTTTACTTTCTGGTTACCTTTCAGACTTGGAATTCAGATGTAAGACCAAGGAATTGTGTCTTCAGAAAGAAATCTATGAAGTAACATCAGCCCAGTGGATGGTAATGGAAAAAAGTTATAGCCTTGTACACTCCAGTGTCAGAGATGACTGGGAATGCAAAGGCCAGTTTGAGAAGCAAGAGATAAATCAGGATGGATATTTGGGGCAAGCATTAATGACTTGTGAAAAAATGCCAACTTGCAGCCTGCAGACATCTCTTGTTCTACATCAGCAAATTTTTTCTGGAGAGAAACTCTGTAAATTTAAAGAATGTGGAAAACCCTTTATTGATGGCTCAGGACATATGCTACAGCAAGGAATTCATATTGGTGAGAAACCCTATAAATGTAAGGAATGTGGGAAAGTCTTTAGTCATTTTTCCTACCTTACTGAACATCAGAGAATTCATACTGGTGAGAAGCACTATGAATGTAAGGAATGTGGAAAAGCTTTTATTCGTGGCTCACATCTTATTCAACATCAGAGAATTCATGCAGATGAGAAACCCTATGAATGTCAGGACTGTGGGAGGGCCTTTAGACAATCTGCACACCTTACCCGACATCAAAGAATTCATACTGGTGATAAACCTTATAATTGTAAGGAATGTGGGAAATCTTTTATTTGTGGCTCAGAACTCACTCGACATCAGAGAATTCACACTGGTGAGAAACCTTATGGTTGTAAGGAATGTGGTAAGGCGTTTAGACTGCGTTCACAACTTGTTCAACATCAGCGACTTCATACTGGTGAGAAATGTTATCAATGTAGGGAATGTGGAATGGCCTTTATTCGTAGTTCACAACTTACTGAACACCAGAGAATTCATCCTGGTATGAAACATTATGAATGTAGAGAGTGTGGGAAGGCCTTTGTTTGTGGTTCCCAACTTTTTCAACATCACCAAATTCATACTGGTGAGAAATCCTATGAATGTGCACATTGTGGGAGGGCCTTTATTTGTGCCTCACAACTTACTCAACATCAACGAATTCATACTGCCAAGAAACCCTATAAATGCAAGGAATGTGGAAAAGCCTTTATTCGTGTCTCAGAACTTACCCGACATCATAGCATTCATAGTGGTGAGAAACCCTATGAATGTAAGGAATGTGGAAAGGTCTTTAGACAGTCTGCACACCTTAATCAACATCTTAGAATTCATAATCTAATGTAATTAATGTAGGAGACCCTTTACCTACCTGCCTTTTATTATAACTCATCAGATTTCATGCCAGAGTAAAATAGTCAATGTAGCAGTTCCTTTGACCTGATATTCAGTTTATTCAGAGTCAGAACATTTAATGCTGAAAAAATTGATAATGAACGTTGAAGAGTTTCTATCATAACTCAAACCTTATTGAATTTTACAAATTCAGGTTAGAAAATGTGGTGAATGAGAAAAGGCTAGTATTTACTATTATGTGACATTAGGCAAATTAACTTCTCTGTGCTTAAATTTATTAATTGATAAACTGTTAATAGTATATTTGTAATAAAGAATATGACTCCAGTTTTGATGTTTGACTATTGACTTTTGAAGCATCATCTTTTTTTTTTTCATTTAATTTATTTTCTTTATTTTTTCAAATACATTTGTCTCTGCCTTCTCCCCACCACCAAGCATCATCTTTCTGTCCACTTTGGTCCCACAACTGGACAGGCCCCTCTTCCTTTGGAGCCAATGGGAAATTTAAATTTTGCAAATTCTAGCCCATATCCAGTTCCACTTCCTGTCTACTATAAAAGCCAATTTATTCCCTCCACCTGCACAAGATATCCCAGATATGTTTGCACAGTCCCTGCTCTACCCCCGCAGCCCATTTGTGAGTAAAAAACTTTTCACAATCTCTTGATGTGTGGAGTATCATCAGCCTCAACAATCAATATAAAATTGGGAGGGAGGTCAATCCCAGCTTTGTGGAGTGACCACAAATTACTTTGTGTAGCTGGCAGGGCAATCTGTGGGCTATGACCACCACCACTTTTTGGTTTGTTTTTAAAATGATCTTATTAAAATGCTCATAATTATAAAAATAAAATGCACAGGAATCACAAAACATAACTTTCATATTGTATGCTACAGTGTGTTTAGAGCATTATGAATATTTCAGTTCTACTTTAGTTAAGCTATTCATACATTTTACCTTTTCAAGCCTTTTGAAATATAATACAAACATGACAAAATGGTACAAGAAGTGTTTCAAAAACAGAACACATTCTACCCCTCCCGCCTCTGTTGTGAATTAATGTTTTCTGAAATTCAAGACGCATGTGCAATTAAAGGGGAAGACTTTGGTGACAAATAGTTTACACGGTGGCCATGTTTAGTTTTCAAACAAAAATGATAGCTTTCCATATCTATTGATATAACCACAATTCTGAGGGATATTTAAAGAAAAATCCCCTGAGTATTTTGGTCTAATGCTTCAGTCCATTGAAATTCACAAGCTTTACAAAAGGATATAAAATGAAAATTTTTCTACTGGTTAACAGTGGGCAGGTTTAGGGCCAGATTTTCCCTTCATAGGTTCACTGCCACACCCATCCATTTTTCCACAGATGCTACTTCTGCATACATTTACACATCTAGCCCATGACTGCTGCAGACACAGCCCCATATTTTTCTTCCCCACCACCACATCAGCACTAGACTTACATTAACACTTAGTGACCACCACTACCTTAAGATCTTTCTATTATTGCTCATAGCTTACTGGGTACAAAACACTCTAAATAGTTGAGGAGATGGCTCTGCTGCTTGAGGTAAGGTTGTGCTTTGAGCTGTACTGCTCTGTGCTTCATCTGCTGAGTTTTGTAGCGCCTCTGTAATAGACTTAATCAACCTAAGTCAGATGGTTTGAGAATTGATGTTTAGGGATGGGCTCGTTGGGGTCAGTGACCGGGCTGTGAAAGAATTTACAAAGAGAAGAAAGTGCAGAGAGAAAGATTTATTTTATTTCCCCAAGGGAGGGAAAGGGCCTAGTGTGGAGCTATGCACTGGCACCAGCACTGAGAGGTTAGGGCTTTGAGTTTGTTTTATTGGGTAATGGGGCGTTTGTAGAGCAGGATGTTTCAGTTAGGCTGCAACTTTTTAGATGTTATCTCTGGGTGCAGGGTCTGGTGGTCATTGTGGTCTAGTATGTCCTCTTTCAGAAGTTCCTGGAGTCTCTGCACCTTCAGGGCACTTCCAGTAATTTTCTAGTCCTGAGGATAAAGGCTCATAAGACAATTAGGATTAGTCGTGCTTTATGGGGTCCAACCAGCTCTGGGAAAGAGGGCCTGAGAAAGTGGCTTTTGTCCTATTACTTGTGAGATTGAGACCCTCCTTGAAGTGGCCCTGGGTTGTGTCCCTTGGATACATCCATGTGTGTCTTGAAAGCATGTGTTTCAGGTCCTTGCATGTGGCACGGTTCCTCAGTGCCTTGAAGTGGCCCTGGGTTGTGTGCCTTGGCCCTGGGTTGTGTGCCTTGGATACATCCATGTGTGTCTTGAAAGCATGTGTCTCAGTTCCAACATAATAAACTGTGACTGATGCTAGGCTCAGGGGAATGGCTTTTAGACAATGACTGCTGGTTGTGTCTCTCACCAGGCATTGGCCCCTGTTCTACAGAAATGCTCAGAAGAAAGATCCTATACAATATATGCACCCTTCAGTTGGTTGCCTGTGAAAGAGGAGTTATTAGAGAGTGAAAAAACAGTTGTGTGGTTTGCTGAGCTCTGTACTCTTCAGATGTCTGATTGAGAGATCTTTAAATATTTCTTCTGCTGGTACCCATGTCTCTATCCCAACAAAGATTCTGATCCTCAGGGCTGTTTGGAAAAACACCTGTGGTGTCCTGTGGCACAGCCACTAATAGATTCTGTTACTGAAGGAAGTACCCATTTCAGTTTCCAGGGCTGCCTTCGACCACTATAGAGCCTCACCAGAAGACCTGGCATTGGTAACACTGCAATCTGGGCTTCTCCAGTTTTCTCATCTCAATAACACCCCAAGGAGCTCCAGGTTCTTCTGTGACAAACTTTACAGAGTATCCAGTCTCTTCCTTGCTCAAATCCAGATCCCTAAGGTGTAGGTAGGACTCACTGCTCCACTGCCTAACTTGAGTCAGTGGCAACCTTCCTAGCCTTATAGTGATATAGCAGGCCCTTTGGACTCCGGGTATTACCCACAGACAACCAATCCTATACAACTGCGGTGGTCCTTTGATCACCACACAATGTGTAACCTTTTATGGCTTTGATACTAGTTTCCAAATTATGGTAATTCCCAGAAAACCCACTAAATTTAAAGGAGGAACTCACTATATTCTTTGGGGCATCACTGGACATAAGATTAAAGGCAAACAAGTCCACCTTACCTAGGCCATTGGCACAATAGCTTTACCTAATTTTTCAGTGGTCATATTTCAAACCCTGTTTGGATTTTCCATTATTGGGATAGATGCTCTAACTGGTCATGTGGCCTATTAGAATGAAATTAAAGCTTTGGTCTTACCAAATGGGGCCTTGTGGATCTGCTTTAGCCCATTAAAACTGCTGATAGGGCCCCAAATAAATTGAAACAAGGCCTTTGCTAATTGAAATCCGGTATACAAGATATATTAAGAGAAGAGGTAATTATTCCCACTCTTTCTCCATTTTACAGCCCAGTTTGGCTTGTCTTAAACCTAGAAAGAATGAGTGGTACCTTACGGTGGATTACTACTACCTAATGCCATAGTCCCACCCATTAAAATAAGACCCAGGATAACTGAAATGACCAAAAGGGTATAAGCTTTCAGTTGTAAGATGAGTACATAGAATCTAATGTATAGCATGGTGATGATAGTTAATACTGTATCATACACTTGAAATTTGCTGAGAATAAATCTTAAGTGTTCTTATCACACATATAAACAAAAAGGTAATTGTGAGATTATGGATGTGTTAACTGAGTGTGAGAATCATTTCACAGTATATATATGTATGTGTATGTATAAGTACATATATATAATCACATTGTATATTCTAAAGAAGTTTTTTATTTATCTAGTTAGTTATTTAGTTAGTTATTTTAGAGAGGGGGGAAGGAAGGGAGAAAGAGAGGGAGAGAAACATCAATGTGTGAGAGAAAGAGAAATATCAACTGGTTGCCCCTTGCATGCACTCCAACCGGGACCGGGCTGCAACCTTTTTCTCTACGGGATGACACCCAACCAACTCAGCCACACCACTCAGGTCCACATTGTATAAATATATACAATTTTATTTGTCAATTATACCTTAATGAAGCTGGGGTAGGGGGGAGAAATAACCAACACCATTCCATCTGCCACTGCCAAACACTTTGCTGTTACAGGTTTGGCTAGTATGTTCTACTCAGTACCCATTTCAACAACCTCTCAGTTCACATTCAGCTTTGAAGGGACACAATACATTTTAACTTGGTTGTCCATAGGGTACCTAATTAGCTTGGCTATAATACCCAGCCTCTGACAAGATATGAATCAGACCCAAAAGTCACAATATTTCTAGGGAATGCTACTATATTGGTTACATTCTCAGATTAAGGTATTTTCTAGATACTCTGACAGAGGGCATACAAACATTTATGACTGCTCTTACTGAGAGGGAATTGGTTATTGCCCCACATGAGGTTCAGGGGCATGTTATTTCATATGAATTCTTAGACCTCATCTGCTCTGCTGAGGGCAGCTCCATCCCTAACTTAGTTAAAAGGCAACTTCTAGTTTATCAGCCCCAACTACTCTCAAGCAAACCCAACACCTATTAGGTTTCTTTGGCTTCTAGAGACAACATATCCCTGTTTACAAATATTATGAAAACTTATTTATGCCTTCACCATTTTATTTTTTTTTAAATTTTTTTTAAATTTATTTTTTTTCCAATACATATGTCTCCACCTTCCCCCCACCACATTCCCCTGCCCCCCTCCCCCATTTCCCTCCCTCAATCCTTTCCCACTTTGGCTTTTTGTCCATGAGTCCTTGCTATATGTTCCTTGACTTGACCCTTCCCTTCCTTTTCCCCGCCCACTCCTCCCTCCTTCCCTCTTGCCTCTGTTGGTTTCTTTTTTCTTTCAGTGTTGCTGGTCTTATTTTCCTTGCATCTTTGTTTTGTTGGTTAGG